TTCAAGTAGTTTTTTTAGTTGATTCTTTAGAGTTCTCTAAGTATACCATCATATCATCTACAAAGAGTGATAATTTTGTTTCCTCATTGCCTATTCTAATTCCTTCAATTTCTTTTTCTTCTCTTATTGCTAAAGCTAACATTTCTAGTATAATATTGAATAATAGGGGTGATAATGGGCATCCTTGTTTCACCCCTGATATAATTGTTGAAGCTTCTAGTTTATCCCCATTACATACAATGCTTGCTGATGGTTTTAGATAGATACTGCTTATCATTTTAAGGGAAACTCAATTTATTCCTATGTTCTCTAGCATTTTTAATAGGAATGGGTGCTGTATTTTGTCAAAAGCTTTTTCTTCATCTACTGACATAATCATATGATTTTTGTTAGTTTTGTTATTGATATGGTCAGTTATGCTGATAGTTTTCTCAATATTGAATCAGCTCTGCACTCCTCGTATAAATCCCACCCAGTCATAGTGTATTATCCTCATGATAAATTGTTATAATCTCTTTGCTAATATTTTATTTTAAATTTTTGCATCAATATTCATTAGGGAAATTAGCTTGCAATTTTCTTTTTCCATTTTGGCTTTTCCTGGTTTAGGTATCAGCACCATATTTGTGTCATAAAAAGAATTTGGTAGGACTACTTCGCCTATTTTTCCAAACAGTTTATATAGTATTGGAATTAATTGCTCTTTAAATGTTGGGTACGGGGCAGCTAGGTGGTACAGTGGGTAGAGCACCAGTCTTGGAGTCAAGAGGACCTGAGTTCTAACCTGGCCTCAGACACATTACACTCACTAGCTATGTGACCTTGGACAAGTCACTTCACCTCGTTTGCCTCATCAAAAAGCAAAAAACAAACAAACAAACAAAAAATATTTGATAAAATTCACTTATAAATCCATCTGGCCCTTGAGATTTTTTCTTAGGGAGTTCATTGATGGCTGGTTCAATTTTTTTTTCTAAAATGGGGTTAAGTATTTTATTTCCTCTTCTGTTAATTTGGGCAATTTATATTTTTGGTTAGATTGTCAGATTTATTGGCCTACAGCTGGACAAAATAGGGCCTAATTATTGCTTTAATTTCTTCTTCATCAGTAGTAAATTCACTCTTTTCATTTTTGATACTGGTTATTTGGTTTTCTTCTTTCTTTTTTTAAATTAAATTAACCAAAAGTTTATCTATTTTATTGGGGTTTTTTTTCCATAAAGTCAGCTCTTAGTTTTCTTTATTAGTTCAACAGTTTTAATTTCAATTTTATTGCTCCCTCTCCTTTGATTTTCAGAATTTCCAATTGGGAATTTAATTGAGGATTTTTAATTTATTCTTTTTCTAGCTTTTTTAGTTGCATGCCCAATTCATTGATCTCCCCTTTCTCTATTTTACTGATGTAAACTTTTAGAGATACAATATTTCCCTTAAGTACTGCTTTGGTTGTATACCATAAATTTTGGTATGTTGTCTCATTGTTGTCATTCCCTTTGATGAAATTGTTGTTTCTATGATTTGTTGTTTGACCCACTCATTCTTTAGGATTAGTTTCTAATTAATTTTTAATCTATCTTTCCATGGCCCTTTATTACACATATTTTTTTATTGCATCATGAGCTGAAAAGGTTACATTTAATATTTCTGCCTTTCTGCATTGGATTGTGAGGTTTTTGTGCTTTAATACATGGCGCCATGCACTGCTGAGGAAAAGGTATATTCCTTTCTATACCTATTCAGTTTTCTCTAGAGGTCTATCATATTTAACTTTTCTAAAATTCTATTCACCTCAGTTTCTTTCTTGGTTTTTTTTGGTTAGATTTATCTAGCTCTGAGAGGGGAGGGTTAAGGTCCCCCACTTACATAAGTTTTGCTGTCTATTTCTTCCTGTAACTTAACTTCTCTGAGAATTTGGATGCTATACCACTTGGTGCATATATATTTAGTACTGATATTACTTGGTTGTCTATGGTACCTTTCAGCAAGATGTAGTTTCCTTCCTTATCTCTTTTAATTAGATCTATTTTTGCTTTTGCTTTGTCTTAGATCAGGATTACTACCCTTACTATTTTCACTTCAGTTGAAGCATAATATATTCTGCTCCAGCCTTTTACCTTTACTCTGTGTGTATCTCTCTGCTTCAAATGTGTTTCTTGTAAACAACATATTGTAGGATTATAGTTTTTAATCCACTCTGCTGCTTCCATTTTATGGGAGAGTTCATCCCATTCATATTCACAGTTATGATTTCCCTCCATCCTATTCCCCCACCCCCGCTTATACTTTTCTCTCTCCTTTCACCCTGTCCCTTCTTACCAGTGTTTTGCTTCTAATCACCACCTCTCTCAATCTGCTTTCCCTTCTATCAGCCTCCCCTCCCATTTCTTTCACCTTTTCCTTCCTACTTCTGCCCTTCCTTCTATCTACCCCTCTCCTTTTTCTCCTTTCCCCTCCTACTTCCCTATACAGTAAGATAAACATCTATACCTAACTGAATGTGTATGCTACTCCTTCTTTGAGTCAAATCTGATGAGAGTAAGGTTCAAACAATGCTCACCCCTCCCCCTTTTCCCTCTACTGTAATAGGTCTTTTGTGCCTCTTCATGTGATATAATTTACCCTATTCTGCCTCCCCCTTTCTTCTTGTCCCAGTACAATCCTTTTTTTCACCTCTTAATTTTTTTTATATCATCACATCAAAGTCAATTTATACCCACACCCTCAATCTATGTATACTCCTTCTAACTGCCCTAATAGAGATACACAGTTCTCAAGGGTTACATCTTGTATCATCTTCCCATGTAGAGATATAAACACTTTAACCTTATTGAATAACATTTTTTTCTTTCTTGTTTACCTTTTTATGCTTCTCTTGAGTCTTGTATTTGAAGATTAAATTTTCTGTTCACCTCTGGTCTTTTATCAGGAAAGTTCAAAAGTCCCCTATTTGATTGAATGTCCATCTTTTCCCCTGAAAGAGTATGCTCAATTTTGCTGGGTAGCTAATTCTTGGCTGTAATCCAAGCTCCTTTGCCTTCTAGAATATCATATTCCAAGCCCTCTGATCCTTTAAATAGAAGCTGCTATGCCTTATGCAATCCTGATTGTGGCTCCTTGATATTTGAATTGGTTCTTTCTGGCTGCTTACAGTATTTTCTCCTTGACCTAATAATTCTGGAATTTAGTTACAATATTCCTTGGAGTTTTCATTTTGGGTTCTTTTTTAGGAGGTGATCAGTAGATTCTTTCAATTACTATTTTATCCTCTGGTTCTAGGATATTAGGGCAGTTTTCCTTGATAATTTCTTGAAAGATGCTGTCCAAACTCTTTTTTTTGATCATGGCTTTCAGGTAATCCAATAATTCTTATATCCCCTCTCCTGAATGTATTTTCCAGGTCAGTTGTTTTTTCAATGAAATATTTTCCATTTTCTTCTATTTCTTTTCATTCTTTTGATTTTATTGGACTGATTCTTGATGTCTCATAGAGTCAGTAGCTTCCATTTGCTCAATTCTAATTTTTAAGGAATTGTTCTCTTCAGTTAGCTTTTGTACCTCCTTTTCTATTTGGCCAATCGTTTTCTTCAGTGGATTTTTTTTTCATTTGGCCAATTGTATTTTTTAAGGAATTGTTTTCTTCAGTCAATTTTTATCCTTCCTTTTCTAAGCTGTTGACTCTCTCTTGCATACCTCTCATTTCTTTTCACGATTTTTTTCCTACCTCTCTTATTTGATTTTTTAAATCCTTTTAGAGCTTTCCAAGAAGGTTTTTTGGGTTTGAGACCAATTCATACTCCCCTTTGAGGGTTCACATGTAGGCATTTTGACATTGTTGTCCTCTTCTGAGTTTGTGTTTTGATCTTCCCTGTCACCATAGCAGCTTTCTATGGTCAGGGCTCTTTTTGGTTTGTTTGGTTTTTTTGCATTTTTAGCCTATTTCATGGCATTTAAAGTTGAGCTCTGCTCCTTGGGCACAAGGGGACACTGTCCCAAGCTTGTGTGTTGGGGGCCAGGGGCCTGGTCATTGACTTTCTGCTCCAGGGCCTTAGGTGCTGGTGGCTTGCCCACTGCGCTGGGAGTATTAGGCAGTAGCCCAGCCTAGTTGTGCATGTTGTGCCCTGGGTCGTGGGGCTGGCAATTTGCCTTCTGCACTAGGGCTAGAGGCCTCACAGATGGCTTGCTGTGCTACTGGCCTGTTGAGCTAGAACTGCGTAGCTTGGTTGCTGATCTGTGCTATGGTTAAGAGCCTCCCACTGGTTTGCCTGGACACTATCTGCACTGGGCCATGCTCCCCTTCTACCCAAGTGAGACAGACCTTTCCTGGAGTCCCTCCAAATTATCTTAAGCTGGAAAATTGTTTCCCTCTACCTTTTTGTAGGTTATGTTGCTCCAGAATCCATTTAGAGGCTTGATTTAATGTTGTTTCTGAGGGAAATTGAGCTCAGGCAACTTCTTGGCTTTTCTCCACCATCCTGGCTCCCTTATTGTTATTAATTTTTTTATTAAGTAAGAGTTAAAAGAAAATTGTATATCCTACTAGAATCTAGGGTTCAAATAATGGTCAGATCAAAACCAGTATTAGACCAAGCAATGAGTGAAAAAAAGTAACTATTAGCAAGGTAATGAAAAAAGTTAGGGGTTGGTTTCCATAATAAATTACATTTTAGGACTATGTACTTCAAGCTTTATGTTTATGATTGGCAATTTTAATTAAATCTCTATCTTTACTTTTGAAAGAATGCATGGAAAAGCATTCTAGTACCTCTCCCTTACCCTTATGAATAACCCTAGTGTTATGACTTTCCATTGTTTACCATACTTAAATATTCCAATTAAATGGCTCCAACCAAAACTTTACTCTATCATAGTGTCAGTTTAACTTAATTCTAGGCAAAACACTTAGGAAGAAATAAATAGTTCCGTGAGTGCTGGCCTTAGGAGCATTAGATGAGTATGCCCTGGAATATCGAAGAGGCATAGAAAATACAGAACTAGACAAAGGAGATGCAATGATTTTAATCTGCATGTTCCAATGAAATAAGTCAAGTTGCTTACAAATTTTGACTTTCAAGGGCTACATGGAAAAAAAAACCCAACCCAGAAATAGTACACAAAATAATATTAAGCAGAAAATTATTAAAAGAAAGCTCAGAGATTAGCAAATTGCTGAAATGTTTACAACTTTTCAAAACATTTTCACAGCTAAAGAAAAAAATCTGGTACATTCTTGGGGGAAATTTTTTCTTATTGTAAATTTTTACTTTCTTCCTCCCATACCTTTTACATAGTTCTTTCTTTGGGGTGAGAAGAGGAGGGAGGGCAGACTTTGAACCTTTGGCTTCATTGGTATAGAGGAACTCCTGGTGAGGAAACTACCTCTACCAATGCAGATGGAAAACTCATTTATAATTTGAGAGAGTAGCCTGGTAGTACTGAGAAGTTAAATAATTTTTCAAAGCTCCCATAGTCAGTGTGTGTCAGAGGCAGACTTGAAGTTAAGTCATGCTAACCCCAAGGCTGGTGAGATCTCTAGCCAATATGACACGCCATCAGAGGGAGCTGTAGGGTGCTAAATTGTTCATGTTTGGATAGTGTCTCCAGGGATAGGCCTCCGGTCCTTATAACCTGATAAATCAGCCCCCCTTCCCACTCCATGCTCAATCACTGTTTTCTTGCTTCAATAAAAATTAAATGAGAAAAAAAAGAAAGCCATTTTAGCTCAATTTTTTCATTATTTTAGAACATGAAAGTCAATTTAATTGGGTTCATCTCAGGCAGCATACCCAATGACAGATGTTAAAAACTCCATATTCTTCCCCCCTCTTTCCTGGTTGCAAATTGAAGATCACTTGCTTTTTGAATGACCTACAGCAGAAATTGGTGCAGAAATCTAAGTAAGTAGATTCACATCAAAATTTTCCAAACACAGATATGTTGCACAGACCTGCAGTTGTCACTATAGTTACTACCAGATCTTGAGATTTAGGAAAAGCAGAACCATAAGGCCATTAGTATCTCCCTCTGCATACATAAGTCTAGCACTCCCTAATGTTTACGAGCTTCCTTTTTAATCTCTGGTTTATTTTCCATATTGTTATTGCTCGGTCGTTTTTCTCCACTGTTTGTTGGATCATCTGAAAGAAAAAAAAATACATATATAACAGATCATTCCCATTCATCTCTCTGATTAGTAGCTCTCAATCAGAGGCAGTTAGCTATTTCCTGCTAAATAGATACAAATGTTTAATCTCTAGTTTCTCTCAATATTTCCCTATTAGTTGTTTTTTTTCCCACTCCTCTTTTCTACTGAACTATTCTTTCATAATAAATTATACCTTCATGAACATGCAGGTACTACATGAAGAAGATTAAGAAATCAAACTTATGGAATCTACTCCAGAAGATAGATTTTGAATATAGGTGGTCAGCAGTGTCTTTGCAGATTAATGTTCTACTACCATGTCAGCATTTAATGGAGAGTACTTTTCTTTTTCCAGTGCAAAAATCTAGAAACCAGGGGATAACAGTCAGATTCATAATAGCTAGAGTTTAGCAATGACAGTTTAGTAGAGCCATAACTAGGCTTTGCACCAAGGTGATGTATTTAGAGGATGTGGAGGGAAATTGCAATCTCTACAATGTAGGGAGGGAAAAAAAACTACTTAACCAGAATGTTCAAAATTAAAAGCTTCCTCCACCTTCTCAAACATACCACCCCCCTCAGTTCAAGTGAGTTTACTCACACATGCTCCAGTCCCACACTGCTATCTGCCCCGCCTCCACTTCACCACACCCATACGGGAAAGCCTACTGAGCTTCTCAGCCACAAAACTTTGCCAATTATAGCTCTATAGCTAGCAAAAAAAAAAAATCTGAGTCTAGTTCTGAGTCTCTTCATACTGTCTTAAGTTAGAATTCATGACCTTTTATACTTTCCTTGTTTACTCTAGGATATTGTTTCAGCCTTCTCTTTTCTGAGTTAAAATAGGGCCTAATAAAGGTCTATAACCTTAAGCTTTAGTGGCCTGTCTGACTCTTGGGAAAAACTCCCAAACTGCAGAAATGGTCTGGCATACTATAGTGCCACATAATGGTACTGTCACCTGTGTGCAGGATGCTATGCTTAGTATAGCATGCACATTTTTGGCTTACCACATTGTCAGTTACTTTTCATTGATTTATAAGGGAGCCCTTAGAGATCCTTTGCTGTTGATTAACTAAAGTCAGTATTGCTATGCCAATGTGAGGGAAAAGGGCATCTTCCCTGCCACATTATGGCCCTTAAGAGGAAGCTGCTTATTTTGATTACTGTGCATTATTTGTAACTCTCTAGCCAACTTTTGCTATTGCTTTCCGTCACTGTACACACTTCTTTGTCTTTATTCATTTCTCTACACATGAAAGTCTTCCTCTATGACACTGGTATCCCTCTTTCACTTCTGACTTAATTATGCTTTCTTATGTAAGTCTCTCATTTTTCTCATACTAAGTAACAGCTAGTATTTCTATAGTACTTGATGGCTTACAAAGTTCTTTACAAATTTTATCTCATTTCATCCTCACCACAACCCTGGAAGGTAGGTGTTATTATTATAGCCATTTTTACAGATGAGGAAACTGAGGCTGGGAGAGATCAGGGTCATATAGATAGTAAATGTCTGAGGCCGGATTCTAATTTGGGTCTTTCAGGCCCAATTTTATTACAGTTAACAAAATATTTTAAAAGTGCCATGCACTGCCCTAGGTACCTAGAGGTTAAGCACTGAGTTACCTTAGCATGTCCTGAGGAGGTAGCCTTCCGCTGCTCCATGTGCTTAGAAACTGAGGCTTCGGGTGATATGAAACTACTTCAGACCTACTTCCTCTACTTCGTCTGGCTCCTAAAGGCCAGAAATGTTTGTAATTCTGAGACCCCAGCAGAGGATGAATGATGAAATGATTAGATCCTTGGGGCTGGTTGTGAGTTCTGTGAGACTCACAGGAAAATGTCAGAGCAGAAGGCACACCCAGAAGCTGACTTCGATACAGCTCAATCACTTATGTCCTGATCCCTAAGTCTCTGAAAGCCAGTACCCCTCTCCACTCCCTTCTGATCCTGTGATATCTTCTGCCCTCCCAGTACCTGTGGAACACTTATAACTCAGAATCTGTCTACTGATCAGCCTATCTAGAACTTAAGAGTCTTTTCAGTGGAGGCTATGCTGTTCCAGGTACCTGAAGGCTAGCTAAGTCCTGAGATGGGTGAGAAAGGTTTTTGGTCACAGTTTTCTGTTTTAACTTCTCTTTATCCAGGATGCCTTCTGCTGTACTGGGTACCTAGACATTGGAGCCTGAAATAGATGTGACATTTCTTGGAACTGACTCCTCCTCAGCTAAAACTTCCTAATATCAACCTACCCAGTCCCCTGATCTTCAGTACCCAAGCACTAGACCACTAGCCTTTTTTCTGAATACCCATTTATAATACCTTCTAGCCTGACTTTCTCATGCCTGGCATGGAGAGTAGTAATCATGAGCTCCAATGATCTCCAGGGATTCTTTGTCCCCTCATTTTACCCTTACTTTGTTTTGTAGATGAGAACAACTGAAGCCTATAGAGTTGAAATGATTTCCCCAAGTTCCCACAGCTAGTGGTGGCGAAGTTAAAATATTCCTGAGACACACTCCAGTTAATCCGAGCCATAACCGGTCCATTCTAAGAACTATCTTCTCTCCCCATAATTGTGATTCTTTGTTTTCTCTCTTTGTCCAATTCCTTAATTTTATTTTTAATTATTTTCCAATTAAATTTAAATTAAATTCCAATTTCCAAGTTGTTAATTTATCTTTTTTTATTTGTTCATTTGTCTCCATCTTTTGAACTTTTGCTTTCTCTCCTTAGCTAGCTATGTGGTTCAAAATCTTTCCTACCTGCTTCTCCTACCTCCCAATCTCTGAGTTTAATATTCTTTTGGAACATCCTTTTGCCACAAGTTTTCCTTTTCTTTGTCCTCATTATTTCTCTCCCATTCCAGTCTATTCTGATTTTGTTCCTCAGTATTTTCTTGTATTAGGAGTCTAGGTGGCACAATAGATAGAGGAATGCTAGTGTCTAAAGTCAGGAAGACTTATCTTCATGACATCTTCAAATTAGACACTAGCTATGTGACCCTGAGCAAGTCACTTAACTATGTTTGCCTCAGTTTCCTCATCTGTAAATGAGAGGGAGAGGAAATGGCATATCACTCTAGTATCTTTGCCAAGAAAATCCCAAATAGGGTCATGAAGAGTCAGACACAACTGAAAAAACGACTGAACAAATGAATTTTCTTGGATAACTTGCTATTATTTATGGACAGGATTTATTAACAATTTTTTAAACAACATTCATTAATTATATTGGTATAATGTTTTTATTCTTTGCTTTATCCTTTCTTGGTTTAAATATTAGGACTCTTTTGTTTTAATTCATGCCTAGATATGAATACAATATGGTCTGAGCCCCTAGTCAGAGTATAGAAGGAGAATCTCCCTAGCCCAGAGCAATCTTCCTTAATGCAAGCCATTAGGTTTTTTGGTTGCCATATAACAGTTTGATTATGGACAGAAAGGGTGTCTATTATTAAGAGGATCAGCCTAAGTCTAGAAAGATGCAACAAGTTGCATCTTAGCTGCTGACATTTTCAGCTATAACAACTCTTGAAGACTTTCTATTAAATCATACAAGGAGTAGAACCTTCATCAGTGGAGGGAGTAAACTACTGATATAATCACAGATCACTGAAGTACAAGTCATACTTTTGACTCACATTAAATTCAGTCTATTTATACTCCTAGATCTTTTTCAGACAAACTACTTAGTCATGCCTTTCTCCATCCTGAACTTAGGAAGTTGTTTTGAACTTTATGAAATTTTATCTTCCTTTTCTCCTTTCTGCTCTTCCTTTGTTATCTTCTCTTAACTTTTGTTCTTTCCCTCTTTTCACCCCTTCCATCCTCACTTCTCTCTTCCTCCTCCTTCCTTCCTTTCTCATTTCTTTTTCCTTCTTTCTGTTTCTTCTCTTTCCCCTCCTTTCTTGCCCTCTCTTTAGTTTCTGTCTGTCTGTCTCTGTGTCTGTCTTTGTCTCTGTCTCTGTGTGTGTGTGTGTCTGTCTCTTTCTGCCTAGGGGATGCTGTTGGAGCATTTGGTAGGGGATGTATTGTATTGAGTGAAAGCAGGTGTATTTGGTACTTGGGTCAAGAAAAGAGGTGAATGGCCTGTTCTGTGTTCCTTACATGGAACAGATTGACTTTGACTCATCAGTCTCTATTCTCATTGCTCCCAAAATCATACTATTGACTCACTTAAAATAATGTAGAAATCGATCTCACAGGGTCCAAGCCAAGGTTATGAGTGCCAAAACTAATTGTTAGCTTCACTCTTGAATATCCATTTACAATACCTCCTGTCATGATTTTGTTCTCCCGCTGACCCTATTCATACATGAAAGAATTTGAATCTTAGAATCACAGAATCAGGAACTGAAAGAGACCTTAGGGATTATCTAATACAAAGGTTAATTACTTTTTTATGTGTCATAGACCCCTGGGAAAGCTTATGGACCCCTTCTTACAATAATGTTTGTAAATGCATAAAAAATATAGGATTACAAAGTAAACCAATGAAATTTAAATACAATTAACAAAATATTAAAAAAAACAAATTTATAGACCTCCAGAAATCTATGGCCACAGATACCTTGGGAGCCTTAACCCCAGGTTAAGAATCCCCGATCTAGTAAAAATTCCCTCCTTTTGCAGAAGGGGAAATGCATCTATTAATTAATGCCTTAGAATTTGCTCTACTATAACTTTGTTAAAAATGGAAATATCTCTTTTGAAATTTCATTGAAATTACCAATATATTTATTTCAGAATAGTGAAATTCTTCTGGAAAAAACCATATAGTTTTCATAAAACTGAAAGAGGGATCAGAAATATCTGCATTTTTCACTTTTAGATTTGATAGATCCTTTCTTTTCATGTTTTGAAGTTGTTTACAGGTTAATGATGCTTATGTAATGAAACATTTTATCTTTAGCATCTTTATTGAATAATCAATGTCAATCACTGCAGGTACAGACACAAAGTACAGATAAACAGAGTCTTTCTAGAAATGATTGTTAATGGGTGGCTGTTTGGAGAATTAATTTCAAAGCCTCATGTGATCATAGATTTAAAGTGCAAAAGCCTCCTGGAGATCATCTAATCTAAATCACTCTCCCTCTGTGCCTTCATTTCTACAGATGAGGAAAAAGAGGCCTAGTGACTTTCCCTAGGTCACAGAGCTTACAAGTCAGAGACAAGCTTACACTTAGATCCTCTGACTCCAAAGCCAGAACTCCTTCCAGATTACCACTCTTCTTAAAAGTCCAGCCCCACAATTTGTTGTTCAGTAGTTTTCAAGTTGTGTCCAACTGTTCAAGACCTAATTTGGCGTTTTCATGGCAAAAATACTGTAGTGCTTTGCCATTTCCTTCTCCAGCTTATTTTACAAATGAGGATACTGAGGTAAACAGGTTTAAGTGACTTGCCCATGGTCACATAGCTAGTAAGTGTCTGAGGCCCAATTTGAACTCAGTCTTCCTGATTCCAGGCCTAGCACTCTACCTACTATACATCTACCTGACCACAAATATAAAATTTATGAACATATGCAAGAAGATACAGTCCATTAAAGTCAGGATACAACAAAGTGAGAAAAATAGTACTTTTTTTGTTTTCTGAAGGGAAAATGTTTAAATTAAGTCTAGAATAAAACACTTTACCCAATTTAGATAGAGCACTGAGCTTGGAGTCAGGAAAACTCATCTTCCTGAGTTCAAATCTGGCCTCGGACACTTACTAGTATATGACCCTGGGCAAGTCACTTACCTCTGTTTGCCTCATTTTCCTCAACTGTAAAATGAGCTAGAGAAGGAAATGGCAAACCACTTCAGTATCTTTGCCAAGAAAACTCTAAATGGGGTCATGAAGAGTTGAACACTACTGAAAACAACTAAAAAACAACAATAGAAAATAAAATTGTCAAATGGTGTAGAGCTGAAAGATATCTTAGATGTCTTCTAGTCCAACCTCAATATTTAAAAAATGAAGAAACTGAAGTCTAGAGAAAGTTTCTCCAAGGCAAAACAGGCAAGTACAGAACCAGGAATGGAGACTATAAATTCAAATCCAGTGTGCCCTTTCCAGTATACAGGGTATGCTGCCCACCATAAAAAGACAAACTTATGAGCCACAGAGGAAAGTACCCTAGGTACACAAAACTAGGTAATCATGAAGGAAATGAGCATCAAGGATAATAAAGCAAAAAATTCGCTTACGGTCAACAGTACTTTCAGCATTATCTTGTGACAAGCTGAGGTTTTCTAGCTTTTTAGGCAGTTCTGATGATCCAGGACTACCAGGAGAACCCCTGATGTCCGGTAAGGCATTCCGACGACCTGTCCTTCCTGAAGATGAAAAATCTGTGACCACAGGCTGTACATCAGTCATTTCTGATTCCTTTCCTCATAGCAACATCTGCAAATAGAATGTCCAAGTAAGGTGAAGAATAACTCAATAAAAAGAAATTTAAAGGTCTAGCAAATCCTAGCTCAGTAAAAGAAATATTAGAACAACAACCTACCAAGGGCTACTGAGTTCTAGCATCATGATACTAACACATCCTTCTCCTGTGTGCCTATCATTTGGTTCTCGGAGTTTCTATCTATACACTGGTTGACAATCCTAAACTTGGTGGAGACTCCTCAGTAGTGTTAACTAAAGTTCTCTAAATAGAATCTGCCCCAGACTTCCTATGAACCACTTGTATGCTTTGAGGGGAACAGATCCCTTTCATTTTGTTCTCCTTTTCTGAGGATTGCTCCACCAGAATGAGAATTGAAAGGGAAATGAAAACGAATTTGTTTGGCTGGCTACTTACTCATATGCCCAGTCTATCTGCTGGTATTTAGTGCAATCCTTGGCCAAAAGCCGATCATAATTTGAGAATGCCAGGTGAAACATTTTGTTCTTAAGTTTTAGCAAAACTAAGTTAAAAACTTTAATTCAGCTTTTTTTTTGTTTAACCCAGTGAGAGCTGAGTCTTTTATTTAAATCTGTTCTACAAAACTACTCTTCAGTGGTCTCAGGATAAAGGCACACAATTTGTGTTTTTCTTTAAATACCTTTAAAGGCTGTTTCCTTTCGTGCTTGCTTCCCTTGGCATCTCTGAGTAGCCTACCAGTCTGTACCTGATAAGGAAGTCTAAAGAAATTATCTTCATAATACATGGAGGTCAGTAAAAGATCACTTTTTGCTGACCACTCTCCTTTGTTTTCTTCTAGTTCACTCTTTTAATAAGGCCGGAATCAAAAGCTAGACTATCATCATCAAAAAAATTAAAAATTAAAATAAAAAAAACAAGTATATTCATATCTAGGATTTTGCCAAGCCTTTTTTGATACCTTCTAGTTCAGATTTGGACAAAGTTAGCATTGAATATTATCATTATCCTAATTATCAAAATATTAAGAACATATCTTTTTAAAATACTTAAATGAAATAAATATAATATTATATACAAGAAAAGGGGTAAGTACATTAAGGTAGTGAGGGTCAAAGGAAATATGGGTTGGGAGACACATATTGGAGAGAATCAATAATATGCACATAGCACAAGATGACTTGTTAAAAAGGCTCTTCTAGCTCTTGGCATAGCGCCTGGCACATACTGGACACTTAATAAAGGCTTGTAGGGCTGACTTGGCTTATTTAGATAAATGACATCCTTTCCAAAATTTCCTCTCCTCTAGATTTCTTTTTTCTTTATTTATTTATTTATTTTTAGTTTTCAACATTCACTTCCACAAGATTTTGAGTTCCAAAATCCCCCCCCACCTCGTGATGGCCTGTATTCTGATTCCCCTTCACCCAATCTGTTCTCCCTTCTATTTTCCTGTAGGGTAAGATAGTTTTCTATACCTCTTTGCCTGTGTATCTTATTTCCCTGTTGCATGTAAAAACAATTTCTTATATTCGTTTCTAAAACTTTACATTTCAAATTCTCTCCCCTCCTCCCTCCCCACTACATTGAGAAGGCAAGCAATTTGACATAGGCTATACATGTGCAGTCATGTAAAACACTTCCATAATAGTCATATTGTGAGAGACTAATTATATTTCCCTCCATTCTATCCCAGCCCCCATTTATTCTATTCCGTCCTTTGTCCCTGTGTCTTCTCAAAAGTATTTGCTTCTGATTATCCCCTCCCCAAATCTGCCCTCCCTTCTATAACCCCTCCCTCTCTTATCCCCTTCCATTCAACTTTCCTGAAGGGTAAGATAGATTTCCATATCCAATTAGGTGTGTATGTCAAGCCAAATCCATGAGAGTAAAGTTCACTCATTCCTTCTCCCCTCCATTGTAAAAAGTTTTTCGTGCCTCTTTTATGTGAGATAATCTACCACATTCTACCTCTCCCTTTCTCCTTCTCCCAGTACATTCCTCTCACCCCTTAATTCTTTTTTTGTATATCATTCCTTCATATTCAACTCACCCTGTGCCCTCTGTCATATATACTCCCTCCAACTACCCTAATAATAAGAAAGGTCTCATGAGTTACAAATATCATCTTTCCATGTAGGAATGTAAACAGTTCAACTTTAATAAGTTCCTTATGATTTCTCTTTCTTGTTTACCTTTGCAAGCTTCTCTTGAGTCCTGCATTTGAAAGTCAATTTTTCTGTTTAGCTCCAGCTTCTCTAGAATGCATTAAATTCCTCTATGTCATTGAATATCAATTTTTCCCCCTCATTGATTACATTCAGTTTTGCCAGGTAGATGATCCTTGGTTTTAATCCTAGCTCCTTTGACCTCCAAAATATTTTATTCTAAGCCCTTCGATCCCTTAAAATAGAAGCTGATAAATCTTGTGTTATCCTGATTGTGTTTCCACATACTTGAATTGTTTCTTTCTGGCTGCTTGCAATATTTTCTCCTTGACCTGGAAACTCTGGAATTTGTCTGGAAGCTTTCCTTTTGTGATCTCTTTCAAGGTGATCAGTGGATTCTTTCAATTTCTATTTTATCTTCTGGTTCTAGAATATCAGGTCAGTTTTCTTTGATAATTTCTTGAAATATGATGTCTAGGGGGCAGCTAACCGGTGCAGTGGATAGAGCACCAGCCCTGAAGTCAGGAGGACCTGAGTTCAAATCCAGCCTCAGACCAAACACTTGACACATACTAGCTGTGTGACCCTGGGCAAGTCACTTAACCCCAAAATGCCTAAAATTTTTTTTTTAAAGATGATGTCTAGGCTCTTTTTTTGATCATGGCTTCCAGGTAGTCCAATAACTTTTAAGTTATTTCTCCTGGATCTATTTTCCAGGTCAGTCATTTTTCCAATGAGATACTTCACATTGTCTCCTATTTTTTTCATTCTTTTGGTTTTGTTTTATAATTTCTTGATTTCTCATGGAGTCATTAGCTTCCATTTCCTCCATTTTAATTTTTAAGGAATTATTTTCCTCAGTGAGCTTTGGATTTCCTTTTCCATTTGGCCAATTCTGCTTTTTAAGGCAGAATTCTCCTCATTGGCTTTTTGGACCTCTTTTGCCATTTGGTCTAGTCTATTTTTTAAGGTGTTATTTTCTTCAGCATTTTTGGGTTTTTTGTTCTCTTTTAGCAAGCTTTTGACTTGTTTTTCATGATTTTCTTGTATCACTCTCATTTCTCTTCCCAATTTTTCCTCTACTTCTCTTACTTGGTCTTCAAAATCCCCTTTGAGCTCTTCCATGGTTTGAGACCAATTGATATTTTTCTTGGGGGCTTTAGATGTAGACGCCCTGACTTTATTGTCTTCTGGTTGCATGCCTTGATCTTCCTTGTCACCAAAGTAAGATTCTATAATCTGAGCTTTTTTCCCTCTGTTTGCTCATCTTCCTAGCCAGTCACTTGACTTTTTAACTCTTTGTTAAGGTAGGCTCTGCTTCCAGTGTGGAGGGTGTACTGTCCCAGGTTTCAGGGATTTTATGCAGCTGTTTTCAGAGATACTTCTAGGGACCTGAAAGTTTTCAGTTCTTCCAAGGTGGCATGATCTAAGGAGAGGTATTTCCTTCTCTCCTGGCCTGTGCTCTGGTCTGTGAGTGATCATAAGCACTCTTTTCTGCCCTGGAAGCGAGAGGAGAATTCCCTCTCCACTGCTGCCACAAGCTCTGCTATGCCAGTGCCCCTCCTCATCCCAGGACTGTCACCCAGGACGGGGATCCAGATCTAAGCATGGGTAAAACAAGAGAATCCTGCTTCAGTGCCAGCAAAGAGATCCCTGCAAACCTCCTTTGATGAGCAGCTCAATCCCCCCACTGTCTGTGGGCAGAGAGTTCCAGAAGCAGCTGCTGTCACTGTGGCCGCCATCCTAGGGCTGTGCTAGGGCCACGGCTGGGCTGTGTTCCTCTCTTTCTCATCCATGTTCTACCGACCTTTCCTACTGACTTTCTAAGTTTTTTTAGATTTTGTGGGTTGAGGAATCTGGAAACTGCCACAGCTCCCCTTGATTCAGTCCCCTCAGGCCTGCTCCAGATTCACTGAGGCCAGGTCTTTGCCTGCATGGCCCATGCTGAATTGCGTTCTTCTACCAGCCCGGAACAATAGACCTTTCCAATCAACCATCCAGGTTGTCTTGGGCTGGAAAGTTGTTTCACTCTGTCTTTTTGTGGGTTCTGCTGCTCTAGAATTTGTTTAGAGTCGTTTTTTATAAGTATTTGGAGGGGTTTAGGGGAGAGCTCAAGAGAGTTGCTGCTTTTACTCCACCATCTTGGCTTTGCCTCCTCATCTAGATTTCTTTGCTTCTACTTCCTCTCCTTCTCCTTCTTTTCCCTGGGTCTCTCTATACTGCCTAGGTTCACCATATTGGTTCAGGATTTACTGCAGACACCTGACTGGCATTAGCCCTACTAAAGCTTATAATCCCAGAACTCAAGGAATCTACCCAGAATCCATTCAGCTTCCTCTAGTAATAGGACTATAGGCATGCATTACCATGCCTAGCTTCTGGTGCTTCTCTTGAAGCTCATGATGTTGTCATTGTTAAGTTGATATTTTAAGCCTTGTCTTTCTAAACCAGTCTTATCTTCTTCAATTCATCTTCCTCCAAAGTAAGTATTATCCAAGACTCTGTCTTCAGCCCTCTTTTCTTCTCTCTCTATAACTTCTCTCTTGGTAATCTGATCCAAAACCATGACCTCAATGATCACTTCTATGCAAATAGCTCCCAAAGTTATATATATCTCCCCAGTCTCTTCCCTGAGCTCCATTCAGAAATCTTCAGCTATCTGCTCAACACTTTCACTTAAATAATCCATTGGAACCTCAAAAATTCAACATGTTAAAAAAAATCACCTGTGGCCCTCTAGGTCCTCAAGTGTGGCTCTCTGACTCCAAACTTCACAAGTCAAGGGAGTCAATCCTTTAAACTTTGGAGTCAGTCAAAAGGCTGCACTTGAGGACCTAGAGGGCCACATGTGGCCTCCCTGAGCCATC